AATTTGTATTATATAATTATATTATATATATGTATATACAGAATAATAAATTATATTGTTTATCGTAACTAATAATAATTATAATTATAATAAAGAGTGTTTTATGCATTTACTTGTTTTTTTAGCAAATTTTTTAATACAATTAATATTTAAATTGGTCAATATTAATATTGCGATTACTTTACGCTTAAAAGACATCAGAAACCTTAATGATTTTATAAAGACATAATTTTGTCAGTACAAGTATATCACTAATTAATTATCCAGCTAAAAAGATCCACACAAATATATTAAACTAAAATTGCTACTATTTTTTAGTTATCTTTATTCACATATCCTTGTGTTCACTATTATCGGACGAAGCATTATTGACGAAATCAGATGATATTAGCAGAAGATCCGTGTCGATTTGACAATAATCTCAGTAAATTCGCGCGATAATCACGTTAATTGTAATTTCATAGTTCACTTTTCTCACTGCGAAGGCAATCATTTACTTCTTCACTCACCGTAATGAGACACGTGATCCTCATATCGTCGCTCGCACGAAATCTTGCTTACCTCACCGATCTACTGCGAAGACGACTGTTAGGCTGTAGTGTTAACCACCTCTTTTAAAGGTTCTCTCGTAGCTATTAGAGCGGGGTCTGTACCGAAGCTTGATAACGCATCTTAGTGTATAATCCCCAACATACAGCATACACGCCATTATACCGCGAGAGCCGGGCGAGTAACGGGAGCAATTTGTTTTCTATATTTCCTTATTGTTACTAGAGATATATACGAGTATCACATATAGTTTCTAAATTACAATCTGATCGCTACGACTAGTAGACAAACGTGTTTATTGTAATATAGTATATACTAAAGCAAGGTTTCTCGTATTTACTTTCGTTCTTACAGAAATCCTTCTTTGTTTTCAGTTTTCTTTAGGTTGCATTTATGTCGAAACATCTAAAAATTCTTTGTTTTACTTTTATATATTTTTCTTGATATTTTATTTCCATCCTTTATACCTCCACACTGAAAAAAAAAAAAGATTGGTTGAATATGACACAGCATTTTTAATTGTTTGCAACAGCCAATTCAAAATGTTATGCTATATTTTATCATCTAATTTGCTGCAGCAGCCAATTGTTTCTTTCAGTGTGGTGTCTCAAATTTTAACGGTTAAATTGCGGTAATATATTTCATGATTAAAAATAAGAAAAAATTTATGAGTCTTAACTAAGACCAAAATTTATTTAAAAAAAGCTTTATGAAAAAATTACAACAAAAATCTACACTGAAAGAAAAAATTGGTTGCTGCAACAATTTAGATAGTAAAATATAGCATAGCATTTTTTATCGGCTGTAGCAATCAGTTTTTGGTTGTAGCAGCAAATTTTTAATTGCCTATCGAAATCATATACTGATATTGCGGATAGATTGATGCAATTAAAAATCTGCTACTACAACCAAAAACTGGTTGCTGCAGCCGATTAAAAATGCTATGCTACATTTTACTATCTAAATTGTTGCAGCAACCAATCTTTTCTTTCAGTGTAGTAGTGTAGAATTTAACGATATTGAAAGCCAAGGCAATGTACCGGACAACTATGCAATTGAATCCACATGTATATATTACTTTAGTATACTTTTATTAGAAAAATTAAAAATATTTCTTCTTATAAAAGTTGCTTTATGAATCCATGGAATTATTTGAATAATTAATTCTATATGTACTCTATGAAATTGATGTTATACAAATAAAAAACGAAATAAACTCAACGATCGCTGACCAAACGATTGATATTTTGAAATTAAATATTAATAAATATATTACATATTATAGGTACTATTAATAACAAAAGCAAATTTTTTGTTTGCACTATATTTTTGTCATAATTTTCTCTAAAATTAATAATAATTCTATAAATCTATATTTGTACAACATTTTTCTTTATTTTTATCCGTAGAATACTTTGGTTATTAAAATCTGGAGCATTTTGTACAATATATAAATAATTGTCAAATAAATTACATTACATCGCTTACTTCTAAAGTTCAAGATTTAATAATTTAGAAAATTCTCGAAATATTTGGAAATTTAATAACTTACCAATAAATTCTTGCTTGAAAGAATACGGACTCTTTAATAATTGCAGAGATGAAAACTTGTAGATATATTTAACATAAACATACATTTCTTAACTTCGTGCTTTTGCATCGTTGATCCTGGTGACTGCATATGGAAACATATCGTGCCAATATGTAATGAAGATATATCGTTGCTTGTTGAAATCCTTCAAATTAATGCGAAAGAATTCGTAACAGAAGCCATTGACTTAACGAAAGTAAATTCATTTACACGCTATTTTAATTGCGTGAGTTTGTGAGTTTACCATCTCCAGCGTGAAGCGCCAAGTTTCTATCATCTAAACATGGAAAGTTGTTTGTTGAATTGTCAGATTAACTGTGAGTCGCATCAGATTCCAATCCTCGATATCGATAGCAAATGTATGTTATTGCTGCTCAATTGAGTAGAAATCCGTTTAATTAATTGGTATACAAGTAGAAGCAATTCTGATATATATGCCATATGTAGAATCTCGTGATCTTTCGAATAATTATACTGAGAGAATGGTCGCGAACGGAAAAGGTGTGGTAACGGTGTAGATTACAGAGCATGATTGAAAAAAAAACACGTGGATTAATGCAAGAAGAGCCGACATTCTGTGCGAAACAGTTAATAATATCTAATCTGGCAGCAAATCAGTTCCCTTGGATAAACCAGTCATGTATCAAAAGCAACGCGTATGAACGATCTTACTTGTTCGTATAATCAGTAAGTAATTATGTTTTAATAAATTTTTATAATAGTTCCTCCTGATAAAATCAGTACCTTTAGATACAAGTAGTATGTAGAAACTTATTGTTAGTACATACTTTCTCACTTCTGTGTCTGTGTGTGTGTGTGTGTAATTTATATATATGTAATACATTGCATTATATATTATATATTATATATACATTTATGTATATGTATATATACGCATTTATATATGAGATCTCAAAATCACAGAATGCCTTTTGAATATAATTTAGTAAATTTGAAGTCAATCTTTTTTTTTTAAATAAAATGGACATTTTTATTTTTATTATTTTATTGTAATTTTTTAATTTTCAATATATAACTTGACGACTTTTAAAATTTTCAATTTCCATTAAAATAAGATCTAATAATTGAATAATAATTATGTTTACTGGTTCTTCTGAGATCTGGTTCTTTGAAGAAATCTTAACTTCGTTGATTTATTGCGATATTATTACTTTCTTATGCAATATTTAGAAAATAAGCGTCATACATTCAGAATATTAGTTATGTATACATATTATTAAGTTCCAAACATATGGATAAACTGTATTTGTTTATTCCTTCTTACATCTAGAATCAATTTAGAATTAAGGAAATTCTAAGCAGTAATTATTATTTAATCTAAAATGATTTATGATAGAAAATTTATCAAACATAACTTGATCAATTCAACATTTACCACTTTACTAATATGAAAATGAGATAGATAATTTAACTGAGTGAATGCGTCGTTCATTAATCATATCGTCGCGACTGAGTTAATTCGCACGTATTTTATTGGCGTTGAGCACGGATTGAGTTTACATTCTACTTTTTAACATAATTAATAAGAAGGATTTTTAATTGAAAAACACAGATGATTCAAAGCTAATGTTTTATTCAAACTCTCTGGCTGAGGTAATATTTATCGCAATAAAATTATTTACAAATTTAGATTCTCTTTAATATCTTATTATTAATATTCTTATAAAGATGCTTATTAGCATAAAAGATTATTAAATTGCTTCTTAATTTAACAAGTGATATTGTTTACTATTCTGATTCTTTTATGAATATATTTTAAGACCGAAAAAAATTTCAGCGCGTTTTTCAGCAAAATCAGATATGTACATAAATTCACACAGAAATATTTAAATACTAAAATCTGCTTTGATCGAATGTAGCATTTTTCATTTAATTACATTTAATTAGTTATATTTTATTCTCTCATAAGTTTGTTCGAAAAAAAGCCAACTGTATAAATAATTGTTAAATTATTAAAATATTTATTGTAAATTGCATTTAATCTAAAGCAAATGATACATTAAATTTCTTTATGCATAAACACTTTCAGTTTGCACGCTTGACTAAACAAAATGTTGCGAATTAACCACTAACTATCAGGCATCCATACACTCTTAGTCTTCATATTTCAAGATTTCAACGATAATCGCAATGAAAGCGTTGGTTGTTCAGTATTTCTTTTATTCTTTTTTTTAACTGTTTATGATAGTTTAACTGAAGTTAAAGCGGCGTTTTCCGTCGAAACGAAATCCGTATGCGGCGCTATTCGGCGCATCAACCAATGCAGGATTTCGGTATTGATGGAAGGATCCATGAAGATGGGGTGGTCTCACGGCGTTTTGCTCTTCGTCTTGCGTACCTTTCAGGTAAAATGCCTCGAACTGACCTTCCGGTAAGAGAATATCCTTTAGGGACTTGTCATCTGGATCATATGCCGATGTGAGGATGATTAATGTGACGAAAAAGCAAAATACCTGCAATAATGCTATCTTTATCAATTGCTTTATCAAGAATCCCAATAAAATTGATAGATAAATCGCTTGTAAAGTTAAATTGAAGAAAATTCTGAACAGAGATGCAGTTTGTAAAACTACGAATATCAAATCTTCAAAATTAAAAATTAACAGAAAAGTTAAAAATTTAATTTCATTAAATAAATTGATATCAAAAAAATTGATATAAAAAAATGCTGTGATATAAAAAATAACTGCTTGCATAGATTTCTTTTTCGTAATAATTACCAGGTCAACAAATATTTGTTCAAAATTAAAAATGAGCAAACTTTCAACAATAATTCGATTGAATTAAAAATTGAACGAAGATATTTTAAACAATAAATTCTTTATGCAGTGTTTTAAGATGCTTATTAGCACCATTGTTAAATGGATCTATTTAATTTGTGATATTACTATTGCAGTCTCAATTTATAATTGCACCTCAAATCCAACGGTAATCGACGCGCAGTTTATACAGTTTACACAGAACTGAAAAGGACATTATTTAAAATTTATATAGAAATATTAATAGACTCAGATTCCGCCTTATATTTGGCGATTTTCTGTTTATTTGAGTTTAATTACATGAACGGTCTAGTTTAATTTATTATTATTTAAACATATTTTAATTTAAACACAGCCCTCACGTTTTCTGAAATAACGATATAATCCGATTATAACAGTATAATCGATAGAGTAACAATTTACACCTTCCTTTTTACAATGATTTACGTGTGCAATGAATCTTTTTTACGATTACTGTAATAAACGGAATACTGTCGTGATGACTTAGGTGATAATTTTCGATTAATACTAAACAATTATACGTACCAATAAAATGTTTCGATCGTTCCATATCATTATCAATTTCCGTTCCATTTTCCTGACCGTATCTCTCGCGCGATCAAGATACTAAAATGACAAATAATGTTTATGTGACATACAACGATGAGTCTTGTCAGCATAACTCTCTCGACTATTTGATAAAACTGGGAAAGCGATAAATCCGGTCTCTCTCACCAAATTAATCTCGCATACTATGCCACGTGGCAAATTAGTTTTTAATTGTAATTT